GTGCCAGAACATATTTCTCAATTCAAGTAACTCTGTTTGCCCTTCTCTGAGCCATTCTCCTGAATCAAATCTTCATTCCTTTGACCCAGCAACGAGTAACCCCAGGGCTACAGGAAACAGGGGAGGCTGAGGGAGGACACAGACTCCCCTGGAAGCTAGCTTCTCCTCCACGAGCCAGTCCTTCCACTGTGCTCATAGACCTGGCAGGATAGGAGAGGGGGCTGCTAGGTTCACTAGAACGAGATGTGAGTGAGGGTGTAGATTGCTGTGTTACCTGTTTGGATTTTCGACCATGGAATCACAGAATCTGCAGCTTAATGATTTAACTCTTGATGGTCATTTGGAGTCCCTGGAGAGGTGGGTGTGTCAGCAAATACCCCCAACCAAACCCTGCAGCCTAAAGACAAGCCTTGGCCCTGGTGAACAGGGTAAGGTTACAGGTTTTACCATTACGTGACCTCTTGGCCTCTGCCTGAAATAGTACTGTCACTTCTCTCAGGCCAATACGGTTTCCAGGGCAGCCCATTGGCCTGAATGTCAGATTTAGAAGTGTTTATCACTTTGGACTTCATATGCCCTTTCCAGAGCCAGATCAAGTAGACTGTAATTTCTTCTGTGCCTTCCTTCAGATGCCCAAGGTCTCTTCAGGCCCACCAGGGTGGCAGAAAATCTTAATTCCAGAGTATCCCCCAGACAAATCGTGGAAGGAAGAGAAAGTTGGCCTTTTGGAGTTGGGGATAAAGAGAGAACAGGTTGTCTGTGGGGGAAAGGGAAAGATTCATGGAGGGGGAGACTTGGAGGGGTGGTTACCACAGAGGTGGGTATGGGAAGCCCATTCCAGGGTAAAGGAACAGTAAAAAAATGTTTTCTGAATGCAGCTGTGAGGAAATGCCTCATCGGCACTCAGAAGGAGGGAAGATCTTGAGGAGTCCTTGTTCGTTCCAGTGCAGGAAGTACTGCCGCAGCCAACATGGCCTCCAACAATTTTTCTCTAGCCCAGAATTGCTAGACAAATCACAGGACAAAGCCTCCTTAGGGTGGGTTAGTCCTATCCACCAAGCCACTCCTGTGGAGGCCTGTGCTCTCTCCTTTTTCCCTACAAGTGTAGCCAGAGCTCAGGCTCCCTAAGATGCAAGTGGAACTTGTAAGCAGACCCTATTCCCCCAAAGTAATCCAGATTTAGAAGACCAAGAAAGGCATCAGCGGGAATTCCCTGGCGGTCCAGCGGTTAAGACCGCCCTTCCGCTGCAGGGGGCACAGGTTCGATCCCTGGCCAGGGAACTAAAGATCCCGCATGCTGTGGCCAAAAAATAAAATAAAATGAGAAGTTTTACAAAAACAAGAAAGAAAGGCATCAGCAAACAATAGATCAAATGCCCCCTTCCCCAGGAAGTCTTCCTACTGCAGTTCAATCATAATCCACATTTTCCTTGGCACCATACTTCTAGTCTCCACCTCCATGCTCACTGGCTACAAGTTAACCTGACCCACTTATCCTAGGAAGGACAGCTAGGACAAAGGAGACTTTGGTCTCCTAGATAAAATAATTTTTGTAGGCAATACTTTAACTTAAAGGGTGACATCTTTGGGCCCCTTGCAGGGTTCCTCTGAAATATTTGTGGAAAAATCTATACAGTACTCCAGAGAGACCAATGCCCCTTCAAATGAACTACTTTATTCCCCACCGCCTTCTGGGGGAGAAGGACCCTGAAGGAATTATGTGACCCCTGAAGCTTCCTCCCCGCCATTCCCAAATTGATCCCAGAAGCTGAGACATCATCCACCCAAACCTCCATCTCAGAATCCATTCTGTGAGAAGCTGGTAAGTAACCCAGTTATGACTCAGCATCAGACTCTTCCCTTCCTCTCCCCATTGGCCAGAATGAAAGGCCGAATCTAGCAGAAGGCTCCTCCCCTATGGATGGCCACATCCTCACCACAAACTGAGTCATGGCCACACCCTGCCTGGATGGAAAATTACCATGAGAGGTAAGGGGAAGGTTTAACTCCAGGAGTTTTAAGTTCTCAATCCAGAAATCACAGCCATCTACTCTCCACCTGGAACTAATTGAGGAAAACATTTTCCCGGCCCTAGCCCTAACAAAGCATGTCCAGGTCTAAATGAGTAAGGCTGCTTGAGCCCAGGACTATGTGAAAGGTAGGAGGCCACTGTCAACCACTGTGTGAAGTATTTGTTGTCCTGGCTTCCGTGAAGGATGATGTCTTGCTCAGATCTGGCTTTCACAGGCTCCACCTCCCCACATCCAAGGCAGCCAAGCCTGGGTGGGAGAAAGGGGCAATCCTCCTTCAACTCCCACTGCGGGCTGTAGGAGGATTCCCCTCCAGAAACTCAGGGCCCTGTGCAATTTTCCTCGCAATGAAAGCATTCTTGTTATAGGAATGCTGCGGGTTTTAATTAGATTTGTTTTACACCATACATGTTTTGAATTTTTTCAAATATGGTTATGTATGGCTTTCAAACTTCTCAGATTCGAAAAGTTCTGATGCTGTTATGTAGAACACTATAAAATGGTATATTTGATTTCATTACGATTTTATTAGCATTAAAAGACTAGTATGCATATGCTATTAAAAAAGTGAGTCCCATGAGGCAAGCTCAAGTTTTTTGAGTTTTTCTGGTAACACACACCATCTGTTCATCACTTCTCATTCCATCATTTGCTAGTACTTGCTATGTCAGATGCCACTGATAAAGAAAAACTGTAAGAAATGGTTAAAAATGAGAAAAGTCTATTACCAATTTCAGAAAATTGAGCAAAAACGTCGTTATAACATCTGAGTAGCCAAGCACCTAGGTTCAATTGCTGGAACACCAGTGGGAGCAGTTTGAGAACCCCCGGGAAAGTAAAAGAGTTAAGAGCTCAGGCCCTGGAGTTGAGCAACTCTGGTTAAAAACCCAGGATGGCCACTAACCAGTTGTGAGAGCTTACCCACATAACTAAAGATTTTTAAAAAAAAAAAAAAAAACCATCTTTCATCTTTGTTGTCAGGATTAAATGAAAAAATATTTGTAAAGTTTGAAAGGCTATATAGCATAGAACCAGAATGGCAGCTCTGGAGTCGGGTTGCCTGTCAGTCACTAGCTGTGGAATATGGACAAATCACTTATCCTTTGTGCCTCTTTTCTCATCTACAAAATGGGAATAATGGCATCTATTTCATAGGCTTGTTTTGAGAATTATATTAGTCAATACAGGTAGAGAGCTTACAACAATACCAAGCACACAGTAAGTAAGCCAAGGTATTAGCAAATTATTAAGGTGCTTAGCATAATGCCCAGCACCTACCTAATAAGAACTGAAAAATGTTAGCTATCTCTGATACTGTACACGTGAGCTGCAAGGGTCCTCCCACGTGGAAGGAATTTCAGTTAGGGTGGACTCCCTGATGGGGTCATTTACTTAGAGAAATTCCTCCTAGACCTGAAACCAGAATGGGGGAAGAGACTTGTAGAGTCAGAATGTAGCAGTCTTTATCAAGAAGGGGGGGGGGGGGGGGAAAGGGGGCTTCCCTGGTGGCGCAGTGGTTAAGAATCCGCCTGCCAGTGCAGGGGACGCGGGTTCAAGCCCTGGTCCAGGAAGATCCCACATGCCGCGGAGCAACTGAGCCCGTGTGCCACAACCACCGAGCCCGCGTGCCTAGAGCCCGTGCTCCGCCACTGCAATGAGAAGCCCACACACCATAATGAAGAGTAGCCCCCGCTCACTGCAATTAGGTAAAGCCCACGTGCAGCAATGAAGACCCAACACAGCCAAAAATAAATAAATTAATAAGTTTAAAAATAAAAGGGGTAAAGAAGTTTAAGAAACAGCTCCTAGGGGGATGGACCGTTAAGAATGGTACTTCCATGTTAAGTTCAGGCTTCGTAGTCTTAACTACAAAGCTGGTAAGATACCCAGGCAAAGAAGGTTACCTCCAAGGTAGGATGAAGGTAATGAAAGACAACAGGTAGCCTAGCACAGGCTTTATACATCAAGAAGCTATAACAATTTAAAAAACCCTATACTTGGGCTTCCCTGGTGGCGCAGTGGTTGAGGGTCTGCCTGCCGATGTAGGGGACATGGGTTCGTGCCCTGGTCCGGGAGGATCCCGTGTGCCGCAGAGCGGCTAGGCCCGTGAGCCATGGCCGCTGAGCCTGCGCACCCGGAGCCTGTGCTCCACAACGGGAGAGGCCGCAATAGTGAGAGGCCTGCGTACAACAACAAAAAAAACCCTATACTTAAGAGCCAGGCTTGTTTAATGCTTTTTGTAGTCTCTGTGCTTATATTCCTGTTTTCTTCATTAATAGCTCATAAAGTATTTGGCAATATCCAACCTGTCTCTTAGAACTTACTTAGGGTTTTAGGTACACAGAGCACAGCCTAAAGGCCAGCAGAAGGTTGGCAGTGGGAATTTCAACAGGGAGATGGCTTTCACTGAAACAGGTCTCCTAGAAACAGCTGTCTTCCCTCACACTGCTATCCTTGGAGAATCTGGATTTTGTTTCATTAAGGGAGGCTTTATTTCCTTAGGATCTCTTTATAGATTTCAAGTTAGAGACCAACCTGCTTCCTGCACCTGCCAGCTCTCCCCCCACCTCTCTTATCCCAAAGAAATAGCTGCGAGGAGGAGAGTAGGGCCCAGCCCCCAAGACACAGAGCAAGGGAGAGCGGATAGGTTTTGTGCAGAACGTAGGGGTCCTAAGGATAGGAAATCTGAGCTGCTTTGGCCTCAGTGGTCCTTTTAAACCTTGAAGAAGAGTCACCAGTGGTATTCTATATCCTTCTCAGTTTGTGTCATCTGCATAAGTTTCCTTTATCTAATCCGTTGACTAAAATGTTGACAGATCTGTAGTACACTATACTAGATGGACTTAGCTTTGACTCCATCCAACATAAATAGTCCCAACCCTCATGATATTCCACTCTCCCCACCCCCACCCGCATTTGGGGGCTTGGGGCAGGTGCTGGGCCAAGGTTAGTCAGACCACAGTGATCATATCCAATCCACAGCACCTTCCATTTTATTGTTTTATTTACAAACAGGGTGAAGTCAACTGGGAAAATCGGGGAGTCAGTCTGGGCCATCCAAATGTGGAGTGGTTCCTGGGTCAGTCTCCACCATGAAGGCCGCCTCTTCTGTCCTTTTCCTGCCCCTTGGTAATGGCCTCTTGATTCCTCAGGGCAGCCTCGGTTGCTGCTCCTGAGCCCTTTTATGAGGGCAGGTGGATCCTGGGGGAACGGGGGTGGTACGAGGGCTGGGGCCCCCTCAGTTTGTGTAAACCTGAGTTCCGATCACACGCATGATTTCCTTCTGTATCTTGGGGTCCTGAGTATTAATGTTGGCATCGCCCACCTGACCATCCTCATATCTGCCAAAGATAGGGCAAGTGTGAGCATAAGAGAGAGAATACCAGAATAATGTCAACCAAAGGAACTGCATTTAGAGGTGTGGCCATCCCATCCAAGAAGTCAAAACCCTTTCTTGATACTCTTTAGGGTGGAAGAGATTCAGCTTATCTGGTTTCCTCTCAACAGACCTTTATCTATACCCATCCCTATCCTCCAAGGGGAAAGTCCCAGTGCCAGCTCCACTCAGGTAGCCAGGGACAAGTCTCCGATAACAGAAACAGACTTTCCCAGTAGTCACATATCATTATGCTCTCACCCTCACTCCTCCAAGTAATTCCCAAGGAACCCTCCTAGACTTACACAAAGAAGAACCGTGTGCAGACATGGTCGGACACAGGGCACACCCAGATGTTCCCATGCTTCTGGAGGTCCTTAGATGTAATCACTGGGAAGAGAAGGGCCAGAAGTTATACATATAATGCTTGGGTCAGAGAGTCCAGGCAGGGAAGGGAAGATACGATGCTTCAACATCAACCTTGGCTGGATCATGTGCCAAAGTTGCACCAGAAATAAAGGTTGGGGACCCAGAAAAACAGGGACTGGGTGAGATACCTACCTTCACAAAGTGCTATACAGTTTAGATTCCGACTCTGCAGGAACCTTGACTGAATGGATCGGGTCTGGAAGAGGAGAGCAGAGCCAGGTAGATGGTTATAGCTTTCCCTAGAGAGGCTAGTTAGCTGGTAATGGTTGGGGATGGGGATTGGGATATCCAGCCACCCCCCTGAAATTTTTGCTTTCCATAATCAATCTGGATGAGTCCAGGCTTCCATCTTTACGTTTTCATGTCACTGGATTTAAACTCAGTCTCTGCTTTCATACTTATGACTGAGGCCACAGATGACTCTAGAAATGTGTTCATCTTAGAACATATCTGATTCCTTCAAATGATCTTTAAACCACCCACCACCACCACCTCCACCACCACCATTGTTTCCCCATCCATCTCTGTAGCCTAAACTTATCCCAGAGGAAGGGTCCTGCCTCAGTGGAGCAACGGCAACTAATAATACCTGGGGGATGGTATTCATTCTGTTATATCTCTGGACCAGCTCGTCCTTGGAGGGCATCCTGTGCTGTCCTTTTCCCATTCCTGTCACAGAAAAACAAACCAGTTCATTCACCCATTCCTTAGTCAAATATTTACCGAGTGCCTACTATGTGCCAGGCACTGAGCTAGAGACACTTGGTGATACAGCAGTGAATAAAGCAAACAGTGTATCTGCCGTCACAGAATTTAGTCTGATGGAGATTACAGGAAAGGAACAAATAATTACAACAGAGCATGGTAAGGGTTATGATGGGGAGAATATAGAGCACTGTGTGAGCCAGAGGAGAACTAACCTAGCCTCGGGGTTTGAAGAAGGCTTCCTGGTGACAGCTATGCTGAGAACTACAGGATTAGGAAGACTTAGCTAAATGAAGAGGGAAGAAGTATTCTAGGCAGAGATAATAGGATATAAAAGGCCTGGAGGAAAGACAAAGCAGTGTGCCTTAGTTTGTACCAGCTTAGTTGATGGCAGAGAAGTGGTGAGAGATGATGTGGAAGAGATAAGGTAGGATAAGATCAAGCAGGCCTAATAGGCCATGTTAAAGCAAATGGAGTTTATCCTGAGAACATCTGGGAATCACTGAAGGGTTCTAAGACAGGGAGTAACACAAGAAATGAGTCAGGAATGAGGGGCCTAGGAGAGTGGTGACATCAACACCTCGGGTCAAATGCCAGGCTGAGTGAAATGAGTGGAGAGGAAGCAAGCAGAGCAAGTCAGATCTGCTCTAGTTCAAAGTTACATAAAAAGCTCTGACCGGGGTCATTCAGAGAAAAGGGAAAAAGCAGGGCAGTTAAGTGGTGAATAATTTCCCACAGGTAACCACAACGGCAACTACCTTGAAGAGTCCTGCTTCCTTCAGAAAGTCCTCCCAGACTTGAAGAGGTGCCAATTCACTCATTTTCACCCTATCTAAATTCATAAATCCTCCGCCATCTTTACCCCTCACTGAATAGCCCTGTTTATAACATTTATAGATTCATTCTGGGTTCTTCCTACTTAGATGTGCAACAGTGCTTGTGTGCCCCTATTCCCAACTCTTTCTGGCCTATGATTAGGACTTCAGTCTCTGTATTCAGCTTTATCACAGGCCCAGCCTTATCACAGTCAGGAATGAGTCTGTGTATGAGACCATGAGACCCAAGAGGGAGACGGATGAAGATGGGAAATGATGCTATCATTGCAGGCCATAAGCAGGGCACTTATCTCACCAGTCCACCCTGGAACTTTCTATTATTACTAACTCCACACTGCTGCAAGTCTTGGTTTTGTGATAGCCATGGTATAGAAGTAGGGATGATAACCACTGGACTGACATTCTTCACTGCTCAGGCTGTCAACTCACCATGCACTCACACTGAAGCCCCATGACAGATTTACTGCCTGAACAAAATTTAGGGCAATGAGAGCCTCAAGACTTGAATTGCCAATTTCTTTCTCCTACAGGACACCCACCACCCCTCTGTTTACAACTTCTCCATTAGCCTTAACTAGGTTTAGCTCTGCATCCAAACATGATGACTTTCTCAGCCTGGGTATTTCAGTGCACGGTTCTGAGTGAAATTCCCATTTAGGTTCTATCCCAGACGTTAAGAGAGAACAATCTGATTTCTATGGCTGGTCTTAGAGATGGCCCTTATGATATAATCCAAATCTTGTCCCATCCCAATCCTGTTGCACACTGTCCTGACCATAATGACCCAATCATCTTTGTCAGTTTCCCTGAGACCAGACACCCTGAGAACCTGGAGCCCAGAATAATCTGCTTTGTGTCCAGAGTATACACTTGTGAGAAGCTTCTAAACACGACTAAACACATAGATGGAGTTTACCATCTCCTTTCCCACTGTCCCTCATTTTAACCTGCTCACTGTGGCCAAGTCATTAGGGGCTCCGCTAGTCAAATGAATGCTCTCTATTTACAATGACCCCCAGAGGGCACCCAATGTCACTAGGCTACAGATACCCTGAGGAAAAATAGAGAAAACCAGAGCAGAAAGGGGTGGAAGGAAACATACAAAGAAGACAGAGTTGGCCAAATGCTGGAGTTAACTAAAATAACTTGGACATTTACACACATCTCACCCAGTATCAGAGACTCTCACATATCTATGGGGCGCTCAGACTCAGTCATTCAAGCAAAGCGTACCCTGTGAATCCAATATAATGATAAGAACACTGGCCTAGAAGTTAGGAAAACTGGATTCCAGTCCTAACTCTGCTACTTAGATCTGTGTGACTGACCCTAAGAAAGTCATTTAACTTTTCTGTGTATCTACTTTCTTACCTGTAAAGTAATAAGAGACTGGACAAGATGACCTATAATTCCAGTAGTAAAAGCATAAGGTATTTTGTATCTATAATCAAATCGACCTTTGGAGGGAGAAGGATGGTGCTATATGATGTTTTTACGTTATCAGTACATGAAGAAGAAAGTTAAGAAGTCAATAGAGATTCCTGGCTCCATCTAATAACTAAAGGTATTCAGGCACTCAGTAATAAACAAAGGCCAATGGGAGAGGAGAGAGGGAGAGAACAGGGAGAAAACAGACAAGAAGAAAGAATTTTGTGGGCGGTAAAAGCCAGGAGGATCTCACTACTTAGAATTAGAGCTTAATTAGAGGGAGGCTCAGGCTGGGACAAAGATAAAAATTGTGGAACCTAGACAAAGCCAAAAGAGTACCCTGGATCCCACCCTGACTGTGGACCCCAGGCACAAAGAATAAGATTCATTCACACATTCAATAAATACATATTCACTGGGCCCTTACCCTTCTTGGATTAATCATAACCTTTGGTTCACAACACACTATCATTTATTTAATAGGACAATGAATACCTACAGACCTAAGAACGAAATCCAAGAACTAAAACATTAACAGTGACTTACAGCTAAGTGCTCCTAACTCTATCCCAACTATCGGCCTCCACTTGGGAGGTATCCACTATCCCAAAATTTGAGTTATTTTTTTCTTTAGTTTTATCATGCACACACACATAGCTAAATAATTTTAATTTTTTAAATTAATTGTCTATTTTTTGCCTGCATTGGGTCTTCATTGTGGTGTGTAGGCTTCTCATTGCGGTGGCTTCCTTGTTGCAGAGCACAAACTCTAAACGCACAGGCTTCAGTAGTTGTGGCTCATGGGCTCAGTAGTTGTGGCTTGTGGGCTCTAGAGTGCAGGCTCAGTAGCTGTAGTGCACAGGCTTAGCTGCTCCGCGGCATGTGGGATCTTCCCGGACCAGAGCTCGAACCCATGTCCCCTGCATTGGCAGGCGGATTCTTAACCACTGCACCACCAGGTAAGTCCTAATTTTAATTTTTGAGCAACATAAAAAAGGCATCATACAGTAGTCCTCTGGGCTTGCCTTTTTTTTTTTTACTCAACTATTATTTACTCAACATTTTTTCCATGTTGCTGAATGCCACTGTTGGTTCATTTTCATTGATGAATAATAATCCATTGTAAGAATATATTAAAATGTATTTATCCATTCTCCTGATGATGAGCACTTGGGTTGTTTCTAAGATTTGCTGTTGCAAACAATATTACTCTGAACATTCATGTACACACCTTTGGGTGCACATATGCAGAAATGAAAATGCTGGGTCACAAGGATAAAATTTCTCAGCTTTATGAAATTTAACACCAAATGTTTTCCAAAGTGGTCATACCAATTTATATTCCCGTAAGTGATAAAACAGATCCTGCTTATCTGCAACCTCTGGTACAATCAGAGGTATTATCAGATTTTTAAATTTTTGCCAATCCACGTAGATGCTACATGGTAAGTGATTACGGTCTTGCTTTCACTTCCTTGATTAACAGAGGATGAGCAGCTGCTCATATTTTTTGGTAATTTTTCAGTGAGATGCCTGTTCATGCTGTTTGCCTTTTTTTTTTTTATTGGGTTGTCTTTTTCTAATTTGTAAGAATTTTTAAAACTCATCTTTATTACTAATCTTTTATAGTTGTATGTGTTACAAATGTCTTCTGATTTGTAACTTGCGTTTTCACTTTCTTAAGGTGTCTTCTGATGAACAGAAGCTTTTCGTTTTAATAAAGTCAAATTTACCAATCTTTTATGATTTGTAGTTCCATCTTTTTCTATTCTCTGGGTGATTTTGTTTAAGACTGGGATAATTTGTTCTTTGAAAGTGTGACTTAAGACTCACTTGTAAAATTATCTGGGTTTAGCAGAAACTAACACACCATTGTAAAGCAATTATACTCCAATAAAGATGTTTAAAAAAAATTATCTGGGTTTGGTAAGTTTTTTGTTTTGTTGTGGCAAATTTGAAACTACTATTTCAATGTATTTTACAATTTTAGAGCTATTCAGGCTTTCTATTTCTTCTTGAATCAGTTTTGTTAAGTTATATTTTTCTAGGAATTTATCAATTTTGACAAAGTCTTCAAATCACTGGCATAAAGTTGACAGAATTTTATTAGCTTTTAAAATTTTGCTCTATCTGTAGTTATGTTCCCTTTTTCATTCATAATATTATTTAATTGTGCTCTTTTTCTTCTTAATCAATCTAGCCAGGTTTATCTGTTTTGTTAGTTCTTTAAAAGAATCATCTTTTGGCTTTTTTGAGCCTATCTATTGTACCTGTTTTTATTTCACTGATTTTGGTTCTTACCTATATTAACTCCTTTCTTCTACTTTGTTTGGTTTATTCTGTCGTTAGAGACTTTTCTAGTTCTGTTATTCTGGAACTAAGTGTTATCTTTATAACAGTTACAATTAATGGAGAATACTAAATAGTAATTTATAAAAATCTAGCACTGGCCCCTTCATATGATAGACATGCAACTATATGGTGGCTCACTTTTATATAGAAACTATACAGAACAAGAACAAAAGAAGACTGAAAAGGAACTCCGACATAAACTTGAAACAATGAGAGAGCTAAGTCAGATTCGTTTTCTGAGCTGGACGAAGCTGAACTCATCTCCTGACTAGAATCTGGACATTGTTTATGCCTTATCTTTGGAATAAAATGCTTCCTCTTGCATTCAACGTGACTAATATAATAGTGTATAATTATACATAGTTTAAATTTTAAAAGGTGGTTGACAAGGAGGAGAACAATGTCTTCAGAAATGTAAGCCAGTGGAAGGGGCTCAAGCCTTCAAGTGCATTCATATATAAACTCGCATGCACGTGGTGTGCACACACACAATCTATAATGACAGGCTAATGCCAACACCAAAAATGTGTTCTCCGAAGAGCCTAGTTTCATTTCCCAGTTATTCCTTAACCCACTCCCAGGACCAAGGCCCCACAATGAATAAAACCATCCCCATGGAGAAGAGGATACCTAAGAGAAAGGGAGATAGTTTGCCTTAACTTGCAAAGAATCTAAATTCCTAATGAGAGAAAACAGAGAAAGATTATGTATCCATGATTGGGGAGAGAGCTGACACAGACCAAGTGTCCACAATGGAAGAGGAGACAGCATAGGATTATGTATTCACAAAATGGATGCAATGTAAATAGAGTCAATGTGACCACAGATTATTTCTTACCTGAGTATCCAAAGGAAATACTGGAGATGGGGCTCAGGTAGATGCCTTTGCCATAGGCTGCTCCATGCAGCTTGCAGGGAAACACCAGGATGAGCAATATGAGCCTGGGCCCACCCATGGCTGTGTATTAGGCAGCCACAAGGCTTATCCAGCCCTCTGTCCCTCCATTTAATCTTCTCACTCGCTCAGATAACTTTAGGCACCTACTCTTGAAAAGCTGATTGGCTGAAAAGTGGATGCAAGTTAACCCCTTTGCCTGTGAAATAGTAGATATTGATGCCTTGGAGAGTGAGGAGTGGCAGAGCCACTGAGTCAGTTCCTCAGAAGACATGCTCCTGTCCCTAGGCCTTGGTATATATGCAGATCCCCACCCTCCAAAAAGGAATGCAGAACAGGCAGTCAGGAGGAGGAACAATAACTATTCCTTGGAGTCTTGCAGGGCAAAGAAATGTCTCCTATATCAACTATCTGAATGAATAGTCACATATATTGAAAAGCCCTAACAAGTTAATTTATCACAGTGGCTGCAATCAGCAATTTATTATTTCTACCTACAGCTATATGCCCATTCCTAAAAACACCAAAAAACACAGGCTAGGGTCAAAATACAACAGCCACGTTCATTCTATACATATAGTTTCAACTTCCTCCCTAGCGAAGCCTCACGGGAGGCTAGGTTTGAGGACACCGAGGCAAAAACAGTTGAGTACTCTAGAGTAGACTTCAAAACTGAGTGGGGCAGGGAGGGGGGTGGAGAGAAAGGGAAAAGGGGCACAGCCTCACCTGCAGTTTGGTGTAGGATGCATTGACCAGCCCATTGCGCAGGATCGAATGCCAGTTCTCAATGTGGGACCCACTGTAAGGCAGGGTAGAATATATGTCTCCTCATGGAATGAGGTTCCCAGGAGCACTTCCAAGACTGCCACTCCCACCCATTCTCACACTCACAGGACATGAAGATGGACACAAATAAACCTAGCAATGGATATGCACATGGATATAGTCACAGGCATGCAAGATGTGTGTGTGTGTGGCTAACCCTTACATTTTAATATACAGTCTCCTCTTCTCTTCCACGCTTCAAACAGTCCCATCCTAAATCCTCAACTGCTGGTTCAATATTTTCATTTGCCTATTATCCTGATATCTCAAATTAAACAAATTCATCTCAAACTCAACACGATTATCACTGATTCCAAATATGGCTTCCAGTAATGAGTTCACATCTCTTTTAAGGACAGGGTACCACCAACTCCCTTTAAGTTACCTTTAATCTCTCTTTTTCTCTCTCTCCTCTCACAACTGGGCATAAATTGCTGATTTCCTTCAAAGTAGCTTTCAAATCTATCCCTGCTATAATCTGTTCCTTCAACCACATATTTTTATATGTAAAAGTCATTTCTCCTCAACTACATCACAAGTAGCTTGAGAGTAAAGACCATACCTTACGTATCTTTATCCTCTACAGCACCTACCACAATAGCATGTAGTATCTGTTGACTGATTGGTTGATGGACATAGATAACACAAACTCATATGCCTCAAGTGAACTTGCCTTCCCATCCCTCTACATTATTTCTGCCTTATCCAGCACCCATCCCCAGCCCCGCCCCACTCCTCACTGGAAGGCAAAGGTGCTGCCATAGAGCTTCTTGGCGGTCCGGAACCGAGCCTCCTTGGCGGGAGGGCTGCTCAGCAGGAGGAACTGGTGTGAGGTGTGCATGAACTTCAGCTGCTGCCCAGGGTGGGGGTGGGGTCAGGAAAACAGAGCAGAAATGGAGATCAGGGAGGGAAGGGAGCAAACTAGGCTTGCGCTGACCCCAAAGAAAGGAAATATGTGTAGGCCCAAAGACTACTGAGACAAGCCCAACCAGGCAGGTCTAGGACCAATTCAGCTAGCTGGTTTGAAGCCCCTCCCTGCCCCTCACCAGAAATTTAGTGTTTAGAGGGAGAATGGTCACTTACCCTGCTGAGAGGTAGTTTGACAATGTGTGACCTGTTACTAGAGATGATCCTAGGACAAAACAGAGAAAAAACAAAAAGGTAGAATAAGTGTGTGGTTAGGCCATCCTGAACAAAGTAGCAGCCTTGCTCTACCCCTGGGAGAACAAGCAAGGATTCCAGGGCTGTTTGAGTCCAGGACACTATCTGGATATTCCTGTGGGTGGTAATGTTTGTGTATAAAAATGTAAAAGGAAGTTACTGACCAGGGACCAGCAAGTTACTGGGTAAACACAATGGATGAAAGAAAGAGAGAAGTGGGAGGTGGGCTGCTACATCTAGGGAGAGAAAAGGATAGAACAAAAGGTCAGCACAAGAGGTCAGCTACCAAAAAAAGTTAGAAAGGTAGGGTCTGTATTAGAATGGTGACAACTTACACTTGGGATTTAGAAACTTACAACTGGGGCTCAGGAGCCATCCTGCCTGAGCTCAAAGGAAGGCTGAAGGCTCTCAGAGATGAGGGGAATGGAAAGCTATTGTTTGAGCTGCAGAAAAAGAACAGAAGAAACTAGAACAAACTTCCTGAGGATTTGGGGACAGACTGGGCCATATGTAGGCTGAACTTAGAGGATAGGAGAGAACAAAGGCATAAACTGTTGAGGGCTCAGCAAAGGAGTATTATCTCTTATAGTGGACATGGTGTTTTTCTTTTGTGCTTCACTCATGTACCTGTGATGCCATCCTGGATGGTCTATGCCTGGTCATTCCTCATACTAAGAGGGAGCATGTTGCATTGAGAAAGTACTAATGTCAAAGGCTGACTAGACAGAAGGAAGTAAGCTAGAAGGGGAAAGCTATGTCAGGAAAAGAGAAGAGAAATCAAGAGAACAGAAATCAAGATCAGGGAGGGAGGGCAAGGGGTGGAGGGAAGTAGAGAAAGGTCAGAACCTTTGCTAGGAGAAGGGAGTAATAATAGTGCTTCAAGGCTCTGGACAGTCCACATCAACAAGGAAGGGCTTGAGATATGGAAAGGGCACAGAGGAGGGAGACAGACTTCTCTGCATGCATAGAAACCCTAACTGAAATGAAGTGTTAATTCCGACATGCAAGCAGCACTCAAAAACCTATTGGGAAACAAGAAACACCTGAAGAGAACTTGAGACATCACATTAGCATTTGTGGGCTCTTTGTAGGATCTGAGTTCCTGTCAAGGGCAGGTGTATCAGTAAAACCCAAGAAAGAGCAGCCATAATATCTATAACCTTGGGAAAGGTGCTGAAACCACCTCGAAGAGAAGGTGTAGGCTCCGTGTCTGATACTATGCCCCACTCCCCCACCCGCCAAAGGATGAACCATTCTACTCATACCACTGCAGAAGAGGATGGGCCAGGGGATCCAGCTTGTCCATCTGCTTCTTGATTTCCAGATATGAGCCCTGTAAGACAATGGCCGTAAGGTTATCTCCCAGGAGAGATGGGAACCCTCCCACTTTCCACAGACTATCAGGGGCCCAGGGCAAGGTAGGCACTGAAGACCATACCAAACCAAGAGGAGATGGGGTTCCCACCCTCAAGGACCCCAGTCAGGTTGGGAAGACTCATAAATAAATATGAAAATGACCGAAAATGCTTACAAAACAACATGCAGGTGGGTCTCCCTCATTTTATGCAATTCCTACAGCCCTAAAAAGTTGATTATAAATCAAAATAAATAAATAAATAAAATCAATGTCCCAGAAAGATTAGGCTAAGGAATCCTGTGGTAAAACTTTACATAAAACATAACAGTCCTTCTGACAAGTAAATCATCCCTCCTGGGTGTATGTTATGTGTTAATCTGAACTGTGATATATAGGATTTGCTGAGAAGAGGCCCACCTGTAAATGTGAGTACAAATGAATGTCTATTCATGCAGAGATTGCAGACGAGGGGTGGGGAAGTCTGGTGAGAGACAGCCTTGATTCAAAGGATGGTCACTGCTCCATGTGGCTGCCCCACCCCTAGAAGGATAGAAGATGTAGGCCCCTGGGTCTAGTTCCTTACCTCCAAGCCCCCCTCCTCACCCTCCCAACCCTGGACAGAGGTCTTTCCCTCACTTCTCTAATGCCCTAAGAATTATGGAAAAAACATTAAATAGGAACAACTTGTGAAGGAATTAGCAGCAAAGGTAAAGGCTGAGAGAGACATAAGGAGTGAGAAATAGGAGTAACAGAGCTAACAAAACAGAGAACAAAGACTGGGAAGGCTAAAGAGGGAAAACTAAAGAGAATACAGTGAGGGATTTGAGTAGCATCTCTACATCTTCACTCCACTTGCATGAATTTCAAACAGAACAGGGCACTTGAGTGGGCAGGCAGGGGACAGGCAGAGGGTAGAATACCTGGGTCATCTCCCGGATGGACATCACACTATCCAGAGCTTTCTGAAGTCGTTCATAATTCTTCTTCTGTGGGGAATCAATGGGAAGAGAAGAACCAGATGAACAAAAGTGGAGGAGAGTAAGATACGATGAAAAGGAGGGGCCAGATGTACAAAAGAATTCTAGGCCCCAGGGAAACAGCATAGTATGTCATGGAAAGAACACAGGTTTAATATCAAAAAGTTCTAGAATCACATGCTAGTTCTTTTTTTACTAGCTGAGAGTAATAGGGTAAGTTACTTAACCTCTTAGAACCTCAGTATCCCTGTATGTAAGTGATGATAAAAATTCCCACTACCCTCAGAGAGATGACCTGAAGATTAAATAACGTATGTAAAGAACCTGGTATAGTGCCTGATACATAGCAATGAGAGTAATAGTGAAGCACTGTGCTGGGTACTTGTGATGGTTAATTTTGTCAATCATCAATTGTGTCAATTTGGGCCATGGGTGTGTCTGGGTGTGGCTGTGAATGGATTTCTAGGGGAGATTAACCTTTGAATAGCAGATTGAGTAAAGGAGACTGCCATCCCTATTCAGGTGGGACTCATCTAATCAGCTGAAGGCCTGAATAGAACAAAACAGCTGAGTAAGAGGGAACTTCTCCAGCCTGCCTGCCTGGAGCTGGGACATTGGTCTTTTCCTACTTTCAGACTGGAACTGAAAAATCAGCTCTTCTTGGATCTCGAGCCTGCTGGATTTTGGATTGGAACTTACACCATCAGCTCTTCTGAATCTCCAGCTTGCCCACTACAGATCCTGGTACTTCTCAGCCTTCATAATCACATGAGCCAATTCCTTACAATAAATTTCTTTCTCTAAACATCTCCAATTGGTTCTGTTTCTCTAGAGAACCCTAACTTATACAATATTTTATATATATTATCTCCCATTTTTATAACAGTAGATATTATCTCCTTTTTACAGATAAGGAAATTGAGGTTCAGAAAGGTTAAGTGATTTGCCTAACACCATTCAGCTAGGGAGTAGCAGAACCTCAAATGGAATCAAGGTCTGTCTGGCTCCAAAGTCTGTATTATTCCCTATCATAACATAACTAACATTAATCGTTCTCCCCTTCTTCTAAGAAACTCAGAAGTTATTATTTATCTTATATTATTAGTTATGTTTAGTTATTTATTCACTAAAACGGCTAAAGCAAGAGTTCCCAAGAAACAAGTGCTCCATTTCTTCTGTCCCCTTATTCCAAGCTGTTGGAATGACAGCCCAAAGTCTTCCACTGTCTTTTAACACCTTTGTTCCTGAGTCCTGATTTTCTTCCCAAGCAACTATACCTTAGGATTAAAGGCCAGAGTCTTGGGATCAGTGGGGTCCACCACAGAGGGATAAGGCTCAAAGATGATGCTCTTTCTAGGGGACTCCAAAGCTGCCCTACACATGGCCACCAGCAGATCCACCACCTTAAGAGAAAGGAGAGAAAGGGGGCAAAAGCTAAATGATTTCCCAGTGCTGGGAGTCACACAGTACCCAGCATAGGCCTACCTTCTGGAGGTTCTCAGCATTATCTCTTTTTTTTTTGCGGTGCGCGGGCCTCTCCGGTTGTGGAGCACAGGCTCCGGACGCGCAGGCCCAGCAGCCATGGCTCACGGGCCTAGGAGCTCCGCGGCACGTGGGATCTTCCCAGACCGGGGCACGAACCCATGTCCCCTGCATCGGCAGGCGGACTCTCAACCACTGCGCCACCAAGGAAGCCCAGCATTTCTCTTTTTAAAAGCAAATATGAGGGGTGGAAGAGGGATGGATTTGGAGTTTGGGATTAGCAGATGCGAACTATTATATATGGAATGAATAAACAACAAGGTCCTACTGTATAGCACAGGGAACTATATTCAATATCCTCTGATAAACCATAATGGAAAAGAATTATGAAAATGGATGTATATATATGTATAACTGAATCACTTTGCTCTAAAGCAGAAATTAACACATTATAAATCAACTACATTTTAATAAAATTAAAAAGACAAATGTTTATGACTTTTTCATTAGAAAATATAACCTCATTATAAAAATTCAAGAACAATGTTTAAAACAGTGATTAAAAAAAGAGAAAAATCATCCCCTTGCCCCCAAATCTCACTCCTCACAGGTAACTGCTGCTAAGTTTGATGTATATTCTTCCAGATATTTTCCCTACAGAAACTGTTATTTTATTATATAGGCAATAAAAAAAAAGAATTGTATTATACATACTGTTGTGTTTTCTTTTTTATATATGCTATAATTTTCTATCCAAAAATTTCTACTGCAAAGGACATACCATCATTCTTTAACTGGATTCTGTACAGAGGGGCTTGTATCCATTTTTTTTTTTTTAAACCTATTATGAACAATACTAGGGAATTCCCTGGAGGTCTAGTGGTTAGGACTCTGCGCTTTCACTGCCCAGGGCACAGGTTCAAATCCTGGTCGGGGAACTAAGATCCTGTAAGCCACGTGGCGCAGCCAAAAAATAAATAAGTAAAATATTTTAAAAAACCCACTATGGTGGGGTTTTTTTATACTATAGTGAACATCCTTACATAGAAAAGCATTTCTGGAGATTAAATTCCAAGCAGTGAAACTGCTGTGTTCCCCAGCCTTTCTTGATCCCAATTCCCCAGCAGCTTTTCCCTCCCCCATACCTCTGCTCCAGTGGCCACCTCCTCTGCAGCTCCGGACATGACTCCCAAGGTGTAGAAGGAGAAAACGCACAGTTCACGAGTACAGACGGCTGGCTGAATGGACATATTAAAGAGATGGTGGTGGCAGGAGGTGTCCAATAAGAAGGTATCATAGTGCAAGAGGGGTGCCTGAACTCAGACAACTCTAGATTGATATTCACATATCCTCATCTTTCCAAACAGGACTGCTGAGATTTGCTTTCTGAGAAAAACAATTATTTCTAGAGTCTCAAGGAGTGTGGACAGAATTCTACCTTTACCATAGATCCAGGAAGAAAGGAAAAATGGAGAGATGAGGAATTAAGGGGCCTCAGCTAAGGGTGCAAGAAAGAGGGTCACGAAATAGAGGCATATACCTTGAGCATGGACCCATTCTGGAAGACATGCTGCTCATCACACACCACGCAGTACTCGTTCAATGTTGGAATCCTCTGCTCTGCATATTTCATGATCTGAGGAGAGAAGAGATTCTACTTATCTTTTGGAAGCCCAGACCCAGATGTAGGAAATAATCTGAACTTCTTTTCCAGTTACTCTCCTACCTCCCAGCCCTGTGCCTAAGGTAGAATCTGTTCTTGGATCCTGCACTTAGTTAAACTGATAGCCTAACTCTAGAGCTAAGACTATATAGTATAATAAAAATAAGATCAGCCATGGTAGAAGACCTGGGTTAAGATTCCCCCCCTACTACTTAGTACCATATATAACTTTCAGCAAGTCAATTAACCTGAGCCTTGGTTTCTTCATTTACAAAGTGGATATTATTCACCTCACAAAGGTACTGAGAGTAAAAAGATGATTTCTGTGAAAGTATTTTATAAACAAGTACTAATCAAACTATTAACATTAGTTGTAGTAATTACAGATTGCCCCCATGTGACAAGTGAGTATTCAGTCCATGATCAGATGCCTGAGAAGCCATTTTAACTACCTAGAACAATCAGCCTGTAAACTGATCAAGACCATAGATAAAACTCTGTGCTGGGAAGACAGCACAAACCCAGAGCTCATGCAGCAATATCCTAAAGTTTTCTTTTTGTTTTTTTTTGCGGTACGTGGGCCTCTCACTGTTGTGGCCTCTCCCGTTGCGGAGCACAGGCTCCGGACGCGCAGGCTCAGTGGCCATGGCTCACGGGCCTAGCCGCTCCTCGGCATGTGGGATCTTCCCGGACTGGGGCACCAAACCGTGTCCCCTGCATCGGCAGGCGGACTCTCAACCACTGCGCCACCAGGGAAGCCCCTAAAGTTTTTTTTTTTTTTCCTAAAGTATTTTTTATACACTCTGTCTTAACATGGCTTTTGCAACCATGTATACTTTGTGTATAAATCAAATTGCTCCCATTTCACAAACTTTTGGGATGGTAAATGGACATGCAAGGGCTTTTATTCATTCATTTAATGCAGATTTATTGAATGCCTACTATGCACCTAGCTCAGTGAAAGGTCTCCTTGATTATTCAATAACATAAAAGACTGTCTTCTCAGACCCCATACTCCAACAGAGAAGATGTGGTATGTACACAAATTAATTACAATTCAAGGCAGCATATGGTACCTGACACATCAGTGTTATATAAAACAAAAAGCATCAACAGAGTTCAATGAGAGGAGACACACTTCCAGCTAATACACTTCAAGTAACAGAGAAGATTTTATGGAAAAGCTGGCATCTGAGACTTGACTCCAATAGGCAGATATAGTGAGAAAGGTCAGTGGAGGGAATGACATGAACAAAGATAATGGAGACGCAAAAGTGAAACCATGGGGCATCCCTGGTAGCACAGTGGTTAAGAATCCACCTGCCAATGCAAGGGACACGGGTTTGAGTCCTGCTCCAGGAAGACCCCACATGCCACGAGGCAACTAAGCCCGTGCGCCACAACTACTGAGCCTGTGCTCTAGAGCCCACGAGCCATAACTACTGAGCCCGAGTGCCACAACTACTGAAGCTGGCACACCGCAACAAAGAGTAGCCCCTGCTTGCTGCAACTAGAGAAAAGCCTGTGCACAGCAACAAAGACCCAAGGCAGCCAAAAATAAAAATAAATAAATTAAAAAAAAAAAAAAGTGAAACCATGTCTGGAAAATAAAGAGGGTTTAAAAAGAAGCAAATGACCAGAAGCGGCTAAGCAGTGAAAGTTTGTGAGGAAAAGTGAAGCCCACTTGAGCAAGGATGTGCGGGATCATAAGAAAATCAGTGTCAATCCTTCTCTCATCTTGGCACCAGCGCACTTAACATTTGCAATGTCTCATTTGGCACTTGATCGTAAGTGGTCTATAAGCGTTGTCTTCCCAATAATGCTATAAGCTTCTTGACGGTGGAAGCTATGCCTTCTTTTCTCCTATCCACACAACACTCAGTATAGTTCTGGAAGCAGAACAGTTCAGGAAATGTTTGCTAACTGACTGAAGAGCTGGGAGATGTTAGGGGATCAGATGGGTCAGAAAACAGGGGAAAAGGCTTTGGAATGAACCTTTGGACTTGATTACCTGGACAAGGAATCCATATTCCAGAGTGGGGATGTTTTTGCAGTGACCACTGACCTGATGAGAGGAAAAAGACAGACTCCGTGAACCTCCTATGAAGCTGGTGACTAGAAAGACCTCACTCACGCCCACTACCTAAAATTCTCTTAAAGTAGCTAAGCCCTAACGCTGATCAGTCTAAGTAATCCCCAAGCTGCAGAGAAGACCTTCAGACATTTTTGCCAAGGTTCTTAAAAAAGACTCACCTCAAAAAACACAAAACAAAACAAAAAAGACTCACCTGTCCTTAAACCCCTTCAAGGTAGGTGGAATAGGTCTGTAAAGTAGCTGACTACCAAGTCCTAACCACAACCTAACAAAATCATACATGACATCTCCGTGGGATGCCCAACCCCAGACTCTCTGCTTCATGACATACTATCAGAGAAGCCTGCCAGACTGTTCAGATATAAGTTCACAACTATTAAAAAATGTGTTCCATTCTACTCACTCATGATTCATGCCCAGGTTTGGTTTATGATGCCTGGACAACCAGACCCCCACCCCATTTTGAGAAGCTGTATTCCCACATTTCCCCTCCCACCCTCTGACACCCAAGTCAAACCCTCCTCAGCCATGTACCAAAGGAGAGGTCCATGCTGGGGGAGGGAGGCCCACGTGCTGGGGGCACTGGAGACCTGCCTGGGGGCTGGGAGGGTAGCCAAACACCTCTACTTTGGGGTTCTTCATGGTGCAGGAGATGGAACGGTTCATGAGGCGTCCAACTCGAAGCTCTGGTACACCCAGTTTGCCTTTCAGCATGGAGTCCTGTATGATAGGGAAACTCGGAGACCTGAACACAGAGCAAAGAGAAGTGATGAGCCTGAGGATTCAGTATGAGCACTAGAAGAGGCCTGGAGGGACTTCCCTGGGGGTCCAGTGGTTAAGACCCCGCACTTCCAATCCAGGGGGTGCGGGTTTGATCCCTGGTCAGGGAACTAAGATCTCTCATGTCATGTGGCATGACCGGAAAGAAAAAGAAAAAAAAAAGAAAAAAAAGAAGAGGTCTGGAGATAAGAATAGATGAAATGACCTAAGCCAAAGAGCAACTCATATCTGAGGAAAGTTCCATTGGATCAAACTGTCAAAGCAAGTAGATCACTACACAACTGGTTTGATTTTTATGTCATTATCTATGTGTTCTTCAGATTGGAACATGAAGGGCAGGCAAAGGCAAAGCCTAGGTCATTCTCTGCAGCATCTAGGCCAGGTAAGGAATGATACCCTGGAGAGGATGCCTGTTTCACGTAGAGAGAGAGAGAGAGAGAGAGAGAGAGAGAGAGAGAGAGAGAGAGTGTGTGTGTGTGTGTGTGTGTGTGTGTGGCAAGGACTTGGGGCCTATTAGCTCTGACTCTGCCTCCTTAGGATAGGGAATAAGGATAAGTGTCGAAGAAAGTAAAGATGGAGAGATTAGCATACATTTCTCCAAACATGTACCATGCGCTAGGTACTGTGTTTTACATAAAGGATGAGATATGACTACTGGGTCAGGAGTAGAAGGGTAAAGACACATAGGGGACAGGACCATGTGGGTGGTATTAGTAGTTAAAGGTACAGAATTTAGAGGACCTAGGAAGAGGATAGAATAATTTACATAATCAAGAAAGTGGGGTGGAGGCTCAGTTGAGATTACAGTGATTAGAGATAATCAGCTCATGGAGAAACTTACTTGGGGATGGGTGAGAAGATGCTGAGGCCAGCTCGGAACTTCTTGATGGTACCACTTGCCTTGAACCAGCTGTGCCTCTTCTCCTGCTGGGTCTTTAAGAAATCGTTGCTGAGATGTTTCCATTGTTGGGATGTAAACATACCCAGGATCCTAAAGAATTAAAGAGCGACAGGCTTAGAGAAGCTCAGGCAGGGGAAGCCCAGGTCAAGAAATAGGACTATGAAAGGCAACTAATCTAAAATTCAGACCCAGGGACTGCAAAGCTAGTTGTTGTAGGGGAAGGTGTGTCTCAAGACCCCATTGATAATAATCTTAGCACCTGGAAATGTACTGTCCTAAAGTACCTCTTTACCTTCGTGGGTAAATTCCCACTCCCTTACCTAGTCTAATGGACCAGAAAAATTCTTAGATGCTTTGCCTTTAGAGGGAGATCTCAAAGGTGAGTCTTCAAAGGCTGTGAACCTGGCAATTTACTGCCAAGAAGAGCTATACTGAACGTGGAACAGAAGTGGTGAGTACCACCCTCTGCCTTATGAATAGTGAAGAAAAGGACAAGGGACACGAAGGGTATGACATTGTTAGGCAAAACATTACATCCCCAAATTTATGGTTTCCAACTTGGGCTGGGCCCTCAGCTAGTCTTGTCAGTCCTTTCACTTGTCCTTGATCAGTTCTCTCTAGTATCACTCTACCTTATTATTCTAAATCCTTATCACCTTCTTTAAGCTCCTAACTTCACCTACAACTGATAATCTCTCTTCTCAATAGAAAAAACTGAAGGCATGAGATATCATCTTCCATAATTTTGCAACCCTACTACAGAATCCATTTCCATTTCTACCCTTACTTGATCCCTCCATTCTCTGGAGACAAGGTGACCTTCCTATTAAGGATCAGTTGCTCTATTTGTCCTCTAGATCTCAGCCCCTGATGGGACCTTGATCTGTCAATCATCCCCCTCTCCTGTCAGTTCCTTTACTGAAGTCTACAAAAAGTTTCAAGTTTCTTTACCTCAGCCTAGCTACCTCTCCCTCTTCCCCTTATATCCTCATCCAAATTTCTTAATCCACACTTATTGTTTCTGTTTTGTTGCCAATCACTCACTTCTCCAGAATACTTACTGTATTCTGGTTTCTACCTTCACCACTCCACTACAATTGCTCTCACCCTGATGCTAAATCCAACAGAAACTCCTAAGTTCTCCTCTTACTCATCCTCTCTGGCATCTGGCCCTCCTTGTAGAAACGCTCCTCCTTGCCTTCTCTGACTCTATTCTCTTCCCATTGTTCTCCAATTTCTCTGACCTACCTTCAGTGTTTCTTCTTCCTCTACCTACTCCTGCTGTTTTGTCTGGGTTAAAGGGTGTTCTGCCCTTGATTTTATTTTCTTCTCATTCTATCATGCTCTCCTTTAGCAATCTCATATTCTACACTGGGTGCAAGTCTCACCCATACACTGCTATATAACTTCAACCTGAACCTCTCTTGTAAGTATCAAATCTACACATCTAACTCTGTATTGAGCATCTCCACTGGAATATCCTAAAGTTAACTTTAAACAACATGTTTAAAATGGAACTAACTATCTGTCCTCATCCCACAAACGTGCTCTTCTTCCAAATCCCTATATAAATGAGCGGTATTATAATTTACCCAGACATCTAGGCTGGAAACCTAAGAGTAATATTCCACTATTCCTTGGCTCTTATCATATACAACATACCCAAATCATTCTTCAAGTCTTATTGATTTTAAACCCTGCAAATTTCTCTAGTCTATCTCTCATCTCTAATCCTACCTACAGTTGTACTTTGGTTCAGGCTTTCATCATCTCATGTATGGACTTCTACAAATGCCTCCTATTAAAACAGTTCTGGTCTCTTATCTCATCCCTCCTACCTATTTTGCACAGTGCTACCAGAATGGTTTTTTTTTTTGCGGTACACGGGCCTCTCACTGTTGTGGCCTCTCCCGTTGCGGAGCACAGGCTCTGGATGCGCAGGCTCAGCGGCCATGGCTCACGGGCCTAGCCGCTCCGCGTCATGTGGGATCTTCCCAGGCCGGGGCACGAACCCGTGTCCCCTGCATCGGCAGGCGGACTCTCAACCACTGTGCCACCAGGGAAGCCCTAGAATGTTTTTTTAAAAACGAAATCTGACCATGTCCTTTCTCTGCCTAAAACCTTTCAATGCTCCCAAAAGCCCAATATCCTCTCTGATTTGGACTCCTTCCTGCTTCTCTGGCTTTAACTTTAGTTCCTACCATTCTCCCCTTGCATTTTACTAGCAATACATAACTACTTGAAGCTTCCTACACACATGCTGCTTCACATAACTATGCCCTTGCAAATGTTATTTACTCCATTGTCTACAGGGGCAACTCTTATCCATCCTTGAAAACCAGTAATCATCTCCCTTTCATCTTTCATTCATCCACCTGCCACCAGACTGAGTTACACCTACATCTTCCTCTGTGTTCTTTCTAAATCTTACATATTCACTTGTATTAGAACATGTATCCACTGGACTCTATTTGGAACTTGACTGAGTTTACTTCTCAGTATTGTATACCAAATACTTAGCAAGGTGCTCAACACATTCAATAAATTAAAACTGTCTGAAATCCTAGAGCCCCACTCTGAGGAAATGTGATGAGCATGACTCTAATTCCAGGGTTGCACGTTTCCTTAAATGCTAAGTACTGATGAGTTTCACCTCTCACCTCCAGGAAGCCTCAAGGCCAGATACCCCAGAAACACAAGCTCCCTTACCTAACCATAAATTTGGCTCCCCAAATTTATTTTAGTCTTTCTTGGGCATATCTCAGAAATACACTTTTGGAAGGAAACATTCAAGAGTCTGCCTGTCCATCCACATGTCCATTTCTCTTTCCCTCAATGTTCATAACCAGAAAGATCAAAGTTCTTACTTTTTCAACTGAAGACCCAGCCCAAATCCTTCCTTATTTGATGGCTGGAAAACCTCAATTGATGGTTCTGCAAAGAGAAGAGAAAGCTCCTACTATGTATCCATGTCTATCCTCCTGCGAGTCTAAAGCCCCAGTTCAGTGGATTAGCTTCCTCAGATTCTAAGGGTACTCTAAACAATAATGATGGACAAGGGAAATATCTGAGGCAGAGGGTAGATTCTGGGAACTGTCTGACCAATTTCAGATAGCCTCAACTTATACTGGAAGTTGAGGGGAAGGGGAGGAATAAGTAATATCTGGGAACAGAAAGGCCTTTAAGGCATGACTATCAGGCAATAGGGTATGAAGACACCAGTGAGAAGAGACTGAAAAGCTCCTACCAATGGCCTACAGATTACACCAACAGGTCTTCCTCCTAGTTTTTCTCTACCTCAGTTAACTTAGGACTTTGGATGAGACCACACACAGAGCACCCACATGCCCAAAGTCACTGCCTTTACCCGGTCCATCAAGGTACTGGGAGAGCGAAAATCGCAGCCTCAACACAATAGGTTCTGTCCGGAGGACCTTCCAGGCTGTAGAAACTTCCTCCTACAAGAGTAAGGTCAATAGTTTCTAGTTTAGCAACAGAGAGGAATGGACTTGAAGTTTTCGCTATATGATACACACATGCACACAGCACTGTCTGCTGAGGATCTAGGAAAAACAGGCATGAATGATATGTGCTTCAAATACAGCAGTCAGGAACAAGACTCCAGGCCTACATGGCAAAATCCACAAGCCCCACTAGACATGCCGTTGGCAGGTACCAGCACCACTTACATCGAGGAAGCTGATGTTGATGTGCAGGTCGATGTCCACGTCATCAATAGTTCCATATTCTCTACAGAGATACAGGCAACCATAAGTGAGACTCATTAAGGGAGAAAGAAGGGAACAGAGACTGAGGTGGAGGGAGAACTGAGCCTGGGGATAAGGGAGAGGGAAGGGTGGAAGGCAGCTCTGTATTTAGGTTCTTAGCTACAGCCTGAAGCCACTTTTATGATCTGGGCCTTTGCCAGGCCAGAAGCCCTTCTTACCTCAAAGGTGAAACTATCAGCCTAGAGGAGTCTAGGATACGAGGGAACTTCTAAGAAAAGTGGCTATACTCTCCTACTTACTCCTGTCAGCCAACCTCAAGTATTCCCAACAACTCCCACCATCATTAAGCTCAAAACTTATCAAGGTCCACTGACCACCCGCGTCCCTATCATACCATAAAGAAAAAACCTCTATCCTTTTAACAACTCAGAAAGAAGTGGCTGAGTCCCCTGCCGTCCCTGAAGTAGAGTCCCACCTGATGGATACAGAGTTTTCACTGTAGATCTCCTTCACTGCTTCAATGTCTGCATCAAGCTGTGGGTGTCGATATAAGTCAGCTGCACAGCTCCCCTAAGTCAGGAGGAAAAATGGTGGAGGGGAAAGACAGAGGGGAAGAGATGAAAAACAGAACATGACGAAACATCCAGAACAGGGATATCAAACTACAGCAATACATACAAGCAAAAGCTGCTTATGTGAAGGGGCTTTTGGTGGTGGCCATAGTTGGGCCGACAGACAAGTCTCCCTCCATCGCCACTCTAGGAAGTTTTAGGAGACCAACTGCAGGCTTTGCTTAAGGAGTTCACATCCTTAAGCCTCAGCTTCTTCTCTCAACCCTGACCAGGACACTTAGGGATCCCTTCTGTAAGAACTCAGAACAGACTGAAGAGTACAGAATTTAACTCAGATTGGTTCTGTCTAGAGTCCAACATTCCTGCTCAGGATCATGCCCTAGGCAGTGATAGCATTAAACAATCATTGGCAGAATAATCTTTTAAAATTTTGACCCTAATGAATGAAACGACCCCTGCTGGCTAGTGAGGGAATAGCCAGAAAATAATGTTTTACAACTAAGAACATGTGGGTCTGCGGTCCCCAACCTTTCTGGCACCATGGACCAGTTTCCTGGAAGACAATTTTTCCACAGACCAGGGTGGCGGGGGTGGAGGGTGGGGGTGGGAATGGGGATGGTTCGGGCAGTAAGGCGGGCAATGGGGAGCGATGGGGAGCAGCAGATGAAGCTTTGCTGGCCTGCCGCTCACCTCCTGCTGTGCAGCCTGGTTCCTAACAGGCCGCGGACCACAGACCCCTGATATGGGTAACCTCCATGTACAGAGGGTGTAGTTTACACTGGGAAAGATATGAGTTCCAGGCAAGAGCAAAGATATGAAATCAGCATTGACAAGACAATCCTCAGATTACACTGACGTTGTATCTTCATCTCTACTCCAAAATAATCTTTCATTCTTGATGTATCCAGAGAAAAGCACACATTTAGACCATCCAACACGGGTTTTGGGGGCTGTAATCTCACCTGAACTCCATAGAGAAATTCCTCTGATTCATTATCTCCCTCCGAATCATCATCATTCCAGAACTGGCCTTTGATGTCCTAATGATGAGAAATAAGGATACAACCCTTTGTTGTGTCCCTGTTATCCCACGGAACAGAGTGGGGTTAGGATGGGAAACAGGTTTCCACAAAGAATGGGAGGTCCCTTGGGATAGAATAACTGAGGCCCTAATCCCTTTGCTCCCTTCCCCTCACCCTTTGGGAGCGTCTCACTCTCTTCCTGAATCTGGTCGTATCCATGGTCTAGCACTGACTTGGTGTCATGGAGGAAAGCAGTAGGGAATTTTAGCCTTCTTAGGTATGGGGTATGATGATTGAGGCTCTGGTAGCCAGTGGGGGAGGCATGAGGAAGATTTCAATGTCAAGGTTGATTCCTAGGCATATCTAAGTTCTAGTACAAGCTGGCCTCTTCTGGATCATTACCCAAGGTGGCTCTCAAGCATACCTAGCTCTTTTGTCTCATAACTCCTTTTCTAACCCTTATTTAACTCTCCCCTTCCTTCCCAAGAAAACTCCCTATACACACACCAAGTAATACTGTTTCCATGCCCCTTCTCCTTCCTTTAACTTCAAATAGCCACTCTATTTACCAAAAGGGTAGGAGGGAAAACACCGGGAAAACGTGAGGTCTGCACTTTGTTCCATCTACCCCTGGATGATCAGTTGGAGAGTTGGGCAGTCAGTTCTCACCATTGGGTCAGTGGGTCACACACACTCCCAGGTCAGTGCTAGGCAGCACCCCTCCATACCACCAGTTGAACCCAGGCCAACGAGATGGGCATTTAGGAGGCCACAAAGGGAGACAAGGGAGGGAGGGGGAGATGTCAGGGGCTGACTGGAGATCTGCTGAGGAAGGCAGGCTCTACTGTTGTGGTGGTAACAAGTCACTGTCCTGTAGAAAGTAGACAACAATTGATCTCATCACCACTTAATAACTGGGTGGCATATACACAAGCACACATTTATGGGTACACTTTTATTATACATATGTACAGACACTTGCACACAGAGACATACTTGCATGCACGTACACACACTTGTACACACAGTTCTTTAAAAATAATGAACCGTGAAAGCACTATACAAACATAAGACATGATTGTTCTCCAGCTGGAGAGTTGTGATTGAAGCAAGTTCTTGCTCTAGTTCATAATGCTATATCAACCCCGAAGCCAAAAATGATGACAGTGGGACCAGATGCTTATGCTACTCAGTCTAGTCAGTTCGTTTTAGAATATTCTCCATAGCGCCAACCACCATCAGAAGCAGGCTCTTTTTCTGGATTCTTTACCTCTAGTTAATTCTCCAAATTGAGTCATTATCTCTTTTAACACTAGTATCCATAAAAGCCTTTATATAACAACCATAGCTACGTTTAAAAGTCCTCAACAACACTGATCTTTCTCCGGTAGACACAGTCTGAGTTGTCACAGCCAAAATAATGCCCTGGATTCCTCCTGGAACCTACTCCTCAAATAATGTAATAATGATCCTTAGAAATGCTCAGAAAAACACTAACCCCTACCCCTTTCACAAGATTAAAAGCCACTGTCCTAGGCCTTCTTGGCTCTGCATTTATCTCAGTTTCATCCACTCCAACCTTACACAGAGGTGTTCTTGGTCTTTAACATGGTTCTATTTAATCTTAGGTTTCTAGATCAGTGGTTCTCCAGTAAGGTCTGTGGATGTGCAGCATCAATATCACCTGGGAACTCGTTAAAAATGTAAAGTCTCAGACCCCCTACTGAGACCTACTAATTAGAAACTCCAGAGGTCTAGTAACCTGTTTTAACAAGCCCTCCAAGTTATTCTGAGAACCACTGTTCTAAATCCTTGCGTGTTCCAAGGGCCTATGGTCTGTTCCTCAGATAACAACTTAGACTTGGTAACTGACGCAGAATGGAGTTATAAAGCACAATGCCAGGGCAAACAGCACAGCAGTCCTCCAGCTGGCAGTGCTGACTGACCCATCAAAAACAATATGCAGGAAAAAAAAAATGCAAAAGGAAACTGCAACTGAAGTTTAGAGGTGAAATGGCCTGATATCTGAGATTTGCTTTAAAATACAACTCCAGCACAAAAAGTTGGGGGGTGGGGGGGGAGATGAAATAAACATGGCAAAATGTTGATTACTGACGAAGCTGAATGATGAGTACATAACGGTTTCTTACACTCTCTACTTCTGTATATAGTTGGAAAGTTTCATAAAAAGGAAAAAAAATCAGAGTCTACTCTTGTAAGGGCTCTCTCTAAAAAGTTAACTCTAAATGTGAACAGGAAGATTATCACTAAGACTCCATAAATGTCTTCTTGCTGTTCTTCAAACATATCAAGCATATTCCCACCACAGAGCCTTTGCCCCTGCTGGCCACCCTTCTTGGAATGCTTTTCAACCAGATACCCACATGGCTTACTCCTTTACCCTTTCAGATCTCTGCTTGAAGGTCACCTTGACTATCCTATATAAAACAGCAAAACCCCAACACACAACATACTAGCACTCTCCATCCCCCTTCCTTGCTTTTTTTCCACATCACCTACCACGCTCTGACGTACAAAATGTTTGTTTATTGCATTTATCTCCCACCAGAATGTAAGCTCTATGGTGGTAGAGGCTTTGACTCTTTTGTCTATAATGTCAGCCCCTCAACACACATTTATTGAATGAGTGAATGAATGAATGAACTGTCTTCTGGAGACATAAGCCAAAGGGGAGAGACATACAAGAACTTAAACACATCTACGCAGACAAAAATCATACAAAAATGATTTTAAAAAGCAAGACTCCATTCACCTTCAAGAGCAGCCGAGAACCAGAATATGAAGATCTGGCGGCTGTGTTTGTGAGATTTGAAAATAAACAGTCAGGTGCTGATCTGGATGATCACAGAGGAATAAAGAGGGAGGCACTAATGTCCAGCCTGGGCTGTCTTGGGTTGGGTGGTAGGATGATGACAGCGTAGGCCAGAAGTACCAACTTTCACAAGCTCTCTGTCACTGTGGAAGTCAAGAAAACTTAGTCTCTCTCCAAGGGCTGTTGCTGCTTGGTTTCTGTTGTTATCACAAGGAGAAAAAGGTAGTTCAGAGGAAATTTTTCCTGTCCAGGCAAAAGACAACTCAGAAACTACCACCTTTTTCAAACCAGGCTGTTTCAGTGAAAGGGACTCCCACCTTCTAATCTCAAGGCTCACTTCTCTGGAGAGATGGAGAATGGGTTTAAACAGTGAAGAGTGGGAAAAGGGAAATGGTGGGTAGTTATGGAATTCATGGAATCACAGACATTTTAAAGAGAAATAAGCCTGAAAGATGGTCTATTTCAAAGCTTTCATGTTATGTACAGAATAATCAGGTGTAGGGAGGTCAAGCTACTTGCTTAGGGTCAGGAGTAAAGTGGAACTGGGACTTACGCACATCTGACAGGTTCTAATTACAGCCACTCCTCCTGTGATTTGGTTACAACCACTTAAGGGAGTTGTTAATGAATTAAGCAAGAGAGACCTATCTAACTTATCCAAATGAGGTAAAGCAGGGAACCTTTCAAGAAAGGCCAGGCCAAATACAGACTGTGTGAAGAATGCCCAGAGAAGGGTGTCTGTTGTTCAGTGCTTTGGATGATGGCAGCTAACGGAGAATTTGCACGGGGACAGGCCAAATGTAAATAAGCCTCAAGTCCGGATGACAAAGGTCCTGGCCTAGGCCCAAGGGCGCTTCCCCGGTGTGACAACTTTACATCTAGTCAAAGCCTCCGATCTCAACGTTTGTACTCTGGGTTTGACTCCCAGCTTTGTGGTACTGGGCAAGCAGGTTACTCCGCTCTACAGCGAGTGCTCCTCTCAGAAAGCCTAGGCCACGTAACAAAGAGTGCGGGGGAGAAGCCACAGACCTGCGATTCCCGCTATCCAGGGTACCCGGCGGAGGCAGAGGCCGGCGTGAGCCTCTGAACACTGGCTGCCACCGCGCTCTCAGGACAGGCCGAGGCCTCCTTTAGAGGAGCAATTAAAAGCTCTTCTCCGGTTTCCTCCGGAGACCCCAAAGACACCCAACACCTGCCTCCCGGGGAAGAAGCTCTGTGCCCGATCTGTGTCGCCAGCAGCCTAGCAGCCCAGCCTTCAGCGAAGCCTGTCAAGGCCAGGAGGGCCCCTCAGAGCCACCCGGCGCAAGGCCCTCACTTTATCCACCCCGGCCGAGGCGGGGCGGGCCCCGCACCCTTCCCGCGGCCCGGCCGCCCCGCCCCGTCCCCGTGGCGGCCGCCTCACAGGCTGGCCTCGTGAGTACTCACGGCGACCCCGGGCCGCGCGCGGCCGCCGCCGAGGGAACTAGCGGCCCGGGACGCCCCGCGGGGGCGGAGCGGCAAGCCAAGGGGCGGGGGCCGGGCCGGGCGGACGAGGTCGCGCAACTCCACGCCTCGTCGTTCCGTCACGGCCGCGCTCAGCCACTCTGCGCACGCTCACGCGGCGGCACCGTGACCACGTGGCCCGCTTCGGACCAACTGCCACGCGACCTGCCCCTAGGCCCACCACCTCCCCCGACGCCTGGTTGGGGCGCCTGCGCAGTGATCGCTGGTTGGGAGCGGGGTGCGGAGCGGAGGGTGGCGCCTGCGCCATGGGGCTGGGCGGATGCGTGGAGAAAGAAGAGAGGCCCGGCGGGTGCACGGAGGGCCCCCTGAGCAAAGCTGTTGGCGTTTGGCGCCCCTTATGGTTGGGAGGAAGGAGAGGGGAAGGCAGTTCCGGCTACCTCTCTACTTTAGAACCCGGGTGGCGGATAAAGATTGAGACGGTCCCCCTGAGACCCTGCCGACTCCAAGAATCTCTAGTTTGTAACACCTTAGGGTCTTTTAATTCTTCTTTTGTTTTTAATTTTTTTTTCTGTTTTGGCTGCACCACTCAGCATGTGGTATCTTAGTTCCCCTACCAGGGATTGAACCTGAGCCCCCTGCACTGGGAGCACAGAGTTTTAACCATCGGACCGACAGGGAAGTTCCAGCGTTTTTTAATTCTTAAGTTTAACTCTTTTGCTCCCCTGGTAGCTGTGGTGTGCTGGAAAGCACTCTGGCCTTCTATTGGGACAATCTGGGTTCAAAGCTTGGTTTCAGCACTTACTGATTGTTCAGCCTTAAACCAAGACTTTCACTTTCTGAGTCTTAGTTTTCTCATCTGTAAAGTGGGGACAATGATATCTGTTTAATGGGGCTGTTGTGGTGAGGATGAAATGAGATGGTATGTCGAACCGTATGAATGTGCAGGTATTTGACTCTTTGTATTTTACAAAACAGAAATTTCATATGGTTCAACCTAACACATATAAAGTAACCAGCAGAATACCCGGGACTAGGAAGTCGTCCATAAATGGAAGCTGTTAACCGTGGTTATTATGGTTATTCCCCTGAGACGTGGCCAGACCTCCCTTCATCCTTATCAGAATTGGGTGTCTTGGAGCTCCCATGTGCCCGTCTTTTCCATCAGCACTAATGGGGAAAAGTTTATCTTATATCTACTTACCTTCCTCATTCCCTCTTTTTAGCTAGACACAGCGTACACAAGGAAGGCTTTGGCTCTGAGTGATGTAAACACGTGACATATCTATCCCTCCGGAGCTGGCCTCAGTCAGAATTTTTGCAGTGAGGGACTTCCCTGGTGGCACAGTGGATAAGACCCCGTGCTCCCAATGCAGGGGGCCTGGGTTTGATCCCTGGTCAGGGAACTAGATCTAGATCCCACATGCATGCCACAACTAAGAGTTCACATGACCCGGCACAACCAAATAAATAAGTAAATATATATATATATATATATATATATATATATATATAAAATTTCACAGTGATTTTTTTACACTTGGATAACCTCAGCATCTCCCTTCTCACTCTCCCTCCTTTTGATATGCCTGCTCTTCTCACCTGGCCTCTGAGCCTGGGCTTCAACACTGTCTTAATATTAGTTTGTCACACCCATTGTGTATAATAACTGAAAAAAGTGAGGTATATAAAATAACAGGACTTGGAGCCTTAGTGGCAGAATGTAGAAGTTCAGAGTCATTGGGGAAGGAGTTGGCTCTGCTCCCTCAAACAACTCACCAGCAAGGGCCCCATAGCAGCTTTGGAGAGCCAAGCATGTGTGGAAGTGTTCGAACAGAAGCACTTTGGGTAAGCACGGGAGGTCTGTCCCCATGAGTGAAATGTCAAAGTCCAGTATTCCATAACCTTTCAGGATTTCCCCTCCTCACTTCCCCCCAACTCACACCACCAGCTCTTCTACTCATTATGAATCCCATAAATCTCAACTGCCTCATAGTTGATCAGTATTTTCCTGGCTTCACTTTTTCCATCCAGTCTAGATCCTATGGTCAGTTACTTTAACCACATTTTTGCTAATATGCTTGCCCTTAAAATCATAACCACAGATATTCCAGCCATCTACCTTCTCTATTCTCCTATCCTAAACCAGGATAACGGAAATCACCCAGTCCCGCAGAATTGAGCTTGTGAGTGGACACTGTTTTATGTTAGTCCAGCCCACGAGCCCTATTCTTTGGGAATTAAGTTTTCCACACTCTCTCTCCAGATCTATAGGCTCCAGGGCCATGTTTGTCTTCTGTGACCCCTGGCATTCTGGCTGCAGTTTATCAAACTGTGAGTGGATTCCTAATGTGAGCTGAGCTAAGCAAATGTTCTCTCCTGGGAATCTTGGATTAGGGCTGAGAGATTATGATTCTAACTGGACTGGTTTCTTGAGCAGAAGAGTTATATAAACTCAGGAGCTATGGTGCATCCACCTTCCAGATACTATGAGGAATGAGGAATGGAGAGAGTTTATTTGCAGAGAGAGAATGAAGCCTGGACGGGCAGAGACCAGAAATCATGAGACTGCTGTCTGGTTCCTGAAAGTTTCCCAGACCATTTCTGAGGCCCTCTGACCTTAGAATCTATGAGTCACCCTTATCTAGAATAAATCGTTAAGAAAACTTACCCTGGACCCGATATAGAGCTACGACAAATTCACAGTCTCCTCAGCTAGGCCCTGAGTGTACCCAGCAATCCTTCTACACATCAGCTTCCGCCACCATCCCCTCTTCTGCTTCACAGAGAAAATAAAGGCAACAAGGAGGAAACAGCTTTAATGTTCAGCCCCCTCCAAACATTTGAATCTCTCCCTCCCTTTCTTTCTCAGAGGTAGTGAGGTCTCCCTTCAAATCCAAGCTTAATCGTTTCACTGCAATTTGTTTTTCACTCTCTTTGTCTCTTCAGGAAATTTGATCCTTTATTTTCATCTCTCTTTCATGGATAGTCAACTTTTTCCTCTCTCCTACTCTTCGATCTCCGCATATAAACTTGATCAACTAGCCCAACCTAAAAAAAAAAAATCCAATTTTAATCCCACACATTACTGATTATTACACACTTTTTCTTGCCTTCAACCAAGCTTCTAGGGAGTGGTTTACACTCTCCATCTCTACTTTCTTACCTCCCATGTGTTCCTTAAATCTAGTGCCATCTTACCTCTCCCCCAAATCTCTACTGAAAATACTTTCACCAAAGTAACAGATGACTTCCGAGCTGCCGAACCCACTGGAAAATTCCAGGCTCAACTGATTTGACCATTGATGTCAGTTGGCATCGTTGATCAGCAGTCCCTGCATCCCTTTCCTCTGTTGGCTCCTATGGGCTATGTTCTTCCAGTTTCTTCCTAAACCTCACAGGGCTCTTTCACAACTTCCTTAATAGACTCCTTTTCTGTCATTCATCATTTAAATAATAATAATTTTTAAAAAACAGTTCAGTCAACACCCATTTCTCATTTCATCACTCTTTCCAGTGACTTCCCAGAATCTGATTCACCTTCCTGTGTTACAGGTCTTGGAGGTAAGCAGAGCCCACCTTCCATGACAGATATTGAAAAGGTTGGGTCTTTGCTTTCCCAGCTTTTTGGCATCTAAGACAGAGGTATGTGACCTAAGCTTGGCCAAGTAGCCCCCAGAAAAGTAGATTCTGGAGTAAATGATTCAGAGAAATAGGACCATGGAGAATTCATCTTGGTGGCAGTGGCCACAGTGCAATCAGCTCTATCCTGTGCTTGGGGGCTGTAGTGGTGTGGGTACTGGTGGTGGTGACATCCAGTGTCCAATGGTGATGACAGTGGCAATATTCTCACGGTGCTGGTCTGACATCTGATTTTGGCTTTTGCTCTGGTGGACTGGCCTCCCATTCATTGTTCCCAGTTGTTTTTCAAGCTTGCATGTCCTGCTTGGCAATCCCGTGACCCACCCAGTGCCGTTTCAAGAGACGGCTTTTCTAGAATTTGAAGAATAGATACATGTATATGTTACCCAAAAAAACAAAAACAAAAAATAATAAGCCTGGGAAATCTTTTTCTTAAAATGAGAGAAGGGTAAGTGAGAACACTTACACAGCAAAAGTGTTTCTAGTTCTTTGCTAGCACTAAAAGAAAAAAGTGGCTTTTCTGTTTAAATCGTCCCGTGTGACACACTGACTGCAGGTGACTGGGACTCCCGAATATACATCTCCATCCTTTACCTCTTGCATTTCAAGTTGCCTTTTAGACAACTCCACTTGTATGTCTCACAGGCAAACTCTTCTTCTTCCTCTCAATCTGCATTTTTTTCATGACCCTAGCTTAGTAAATAGCACCTATGACTTGTTCAGCCGGAACCCTGAGAGGAAAACATCTTAGACTTCTCCCACCCTCGTGTGAACAGAACACATGTTACCTCTTATTACATATTAAATCAATCCCTCTTTTATATTCCTACTCTTCCTCACCAGAACCATTGTACTAGCCTCCCAACTAGCCCAGTATCAACTCTTCTGATCTCTTCTCCACTTAGCTGCCTAGGGGAATCTTTCTAGAACCCAAAGCTGATCATGTCATTCCTCTGTTAAAATTCTTCAATGGCTCCTTACCACCTCCAGGATAAAATATGTACCCCTTCTATGGCTGTGGCTCCTACCCGGCTCTCAGCCCTCCCTCACCTGCATCCTACGCTCCAGCCAGGTCAAACTACATGTTTTTACAGACCATGCAGGACATGTCTTTACATTCTATGACTACTTAGTGGGGCTGACAGTCACAGTGCCACCTCTGCTCCCTCCCGTTTTCCACCACCCAGAGGTGGATACATGACCCATCGGGCCAGGCAGGGGACTCCATGGCCCCTGGCCAAAGTGATTAGTTCAGGTAAGGGTTTGTCACCTAAGCAGAGCCAATCATAACCTTCCCCTTAAACTCTCTTGCTTTTGAGGCCATGGTGCCAGGAGCA